TTTATAAGCCACCCAGCATGTGGCAGTTTTGTTATAGCAGCCCAAACAGACTAAGACAATGTGTAAACTTGACTGGGCCACAAGTTGCCTCGATATTTGGCCAAACATTATTCTGAGTGTTTCTACAGTGAGAGTGTTTTTGGGTGAGATTAACATTTAAATCAGTAGACTGAGTAAAGCAGATTGCCCTCCCTAATGTGTGCGGTTCAGTCAGTTGAAGGCCTGAATAGAACAAAAAGGCTAACCCTCCTCCAAGCAAAAGAATTTCAACAGCTGTCAAAGTGGGACTTCAGCTTTTTCCTGCTCTCAGACTCAAACATAGGTCTTCCTGGGTCTTGAGCCTGCCTGCCTTTGTGACTGGCCGTGTGGTCTCAGGCAAGTTACTTAAGACTCTCTTGTATGTCGGTGTCCTTATCTGACGAAGGGAGATAAAATTGTAACACCTTCTTCATAGGGTCACAGTAAATATTATATTAATAAATATAATTGTTTACTGGCATATAGTAAACATTCTGTAAGTGTTAGCTGCCATCATCATCAAGGATTAACATATATTTCAATTTTATCACTATATATGACTTATGAATATTTCTATAAATACTTACTTTACCTGCCCATATGCTAAAACCTGAATGAAAATAATAAATTGATAAGTAATAAAACTCTCCTATACATGCCCACAGTAGAGCCGGTATTTAAAACCTCACAGGACCAATTGCTTACAATTTTACTTTCATTTAATAATTTACCTTAATAAAAGACAATTATGTATCTTATTGGAAGATAACCCATTAAAAGACAGATTTGCAAGTTATTTAACTGATATTTTTATATTATTATTGAAGAAAATTACTAGACAGTTGTACCTATTTTGTAATAGGCAGATTCTAGGAAATATTGTGGAAATACCATTTATATAAATCTGATAAGAAGAAACAGAAATAGAAAGAGAACGAGAAAAAACTATAATTTTGTATATAAGTGATAAAATCTTTTTGAAATTTCTTTTTGTTGGTTGTTTGGTTGCTTCGTTGGTACTGTTGCTATTTGAACTCTGTCTACATCAACACTCTTTGGATCTTGGTGGCTTGGTGACAATGTAGAAAGTCCTATATGTACTTTAAAAACATCAAAGTTGCTTCTCTCTTTAGAGATCCACATTTGATCTTCTAGCTCCTACATATTGGAATTTCATGTGTTGCCAGAGAAGACCCTATGATAAACTGCCTTCAACTGTCCATCAAGCGAGGTAGAGATGAGAGATCCAATCATCTGTGAGAAAATAACCCTCCTGGTCATGGAGAATCTAAAGTAATAGCAGAACTGGAGCGGAGCTGTGCTGGTTATCTCAGTGCCAGCACCTTCTCAACTCATTTACACCATCCCCACATTCTGACACCCCTTCACGGTGTTGACCAGGGCCCAGACATTTTCCCATACGCTTCTTTTTCTTAGAAAATCAAGCCACCTTTTCACTTATGCTAAAATATATGGTCAATAGCCCCAGGGAAGACATGTCTGGAAATATGTTCTTAAGAACATGAGATATAACACTCTATCTCTGAAATTTTCAAATAATTCAAAATTTCAACTCTAAATAGCATAATACTGATCTCAACAAATAGTTGTCTCCCAAAAGATCAGAAATTTTTAAAAGCCTGAAAAACACTAATTAGTTCAAATATGTTTTCAAATAGTATACATACATATTTTTCTTTTAGGGTAACAAAATTAACATTTAATAAGAATCAATCATTTCTTATGGAGCTTAAGAATGTTTAGGCTCATTTTAAGCTATATCTGCCACATTTCGAATTTTCCAGTCATAGCTGGAAACTTTTCAGAAGTCTGAACATACAGTTCAAATGATTATTCTAAAAAATGTGCACATGGGAAAAACTGTTTGCTTACTAGATCCTTCTTCAACAACTCAGATACTTAAATCATTTCCAAAGCAAATTTTACAAAATCAAATAAATTGCAAAACTAGAAATGTAATCAAGTCTTCAAGAAGGAGTTTCAATCCTCTGCCAAAACAGACCTCAACTTTGTAATCCCTTGTTCAAAAAAGTTGGACCAAGTATTGATGTTTTCCACCAAGCAAGCCACATAGCCACAAACGTTTCTCATTTATTCCACTCCTGGGACATACAGCTCAAATAAAAAATTTCCTGAATACCCCAAATTTCAGATGCAATTTGGAATGCAAGAGATTCATAATGTTATGCAGGAAACATTATGATTTTCTCTTACCGACTCAGTGTTTCTGGAATGCAATCCTCAGGAGATCATTCCAACCAATTAGAAGGCTGACATTTCTTTCAGCCATGTGACCCAACTATTGTGCTCTCTGCCCTCGCTCAGATGTGACTGTGAAACCTCAGCAATCTGTGACTCTAGCTACTGTTCAAATACAAGAGGTGTTACCTCAAGGGAACCAGCACAGATCCCTACTGGCAACAGGGTACTCCAACCCCCCATTCAGAAAGTATAAAAAAGAATTAAAGCCACTGTCATTGCTTTTGCACCAAAAACCTCTCACAGAGGCCTCTGAACAAAGATCCTAATTAAATTCAAGAGTGAAATTTCACAGAGCCTCTAGTTACATAAGTCCTATTCTAATTCCATCCCTACCTTACCCTCCTTGTTAAGTTACTGAGAATGTCTCAGACTAAGTACCAAAGTTGTAACTTTCATCCTCTGTAGATTTCTACTCTCTTTCAAAGAAAAAAAAAACTGTTGAAATAAAGGAAGAAAAATACTGTACTGAATGCACCAAATGAACATGAAAATTCTGTAAGTCCTTAGAAAGTGTGATCACTAAAAATGAGAGAAGTGTAAGTGTCTACAACATGGTAAAATATAGGGCACAGTAGAGCAGCAAATGTGGACATCAAAAGATCGAGATAAACACTTTTTGATGTACTGACAGTTTTTCATTCACTAAACATGTCATTATAAGCAAGATGTACAGTGAAGGAGACTCTTAAACAGGGATTATCTGAGGGAGTCTGAGGTAAAACTCAAAGTTAAGCACATAATATCTTGAAAGTTTAGGCAAAAGAAGAGAGATACTGATTCTATACAAGTACTAGGCAATAGGAAGAAGTTTCTCAAACTAGAGGAATTTGAGGAAAGCTTAAAATCATTATTTAAACATAAACAAAAAAATCTACTTTAAATAACTCTCTTTACAAACAATGATGGAAAACCTACCAAAACAATGGATTTGCTTAAAATAAATTCATGGTTCTATAGGCAATTTTGATAACAGTAATACTGACAATTAAACTGAGCCTGTAAGTTAAAATCATGACATAACCAAAGAACCCATGAGATCAGTTCGTCTCAGGAAGCCATGAAAAAATACAAAAATACTTGGAAATAATGTCTACATGTTAAAAAAAGACAGCTTAAATATGTGGTTGGATGAATAATAATGAAAAATTTGAAAAGTAGCTTCAATAGCTCTAGCTTCGAAATTCCTATTTTCTGCCCCACCTCAGCTGTTTGAGAGAAGTCATCACTCAAGTATCAGTACAAACAGAGACAGTAACCACACTGATCATTTAATACTTATTTGTACTGAAAAATCATTGGTTAGATGACAACATTATGGAATATTCTAGATGACAGTGTTTTCTGAATACTTTAAAACTTAATTCTGTGCATTATTCTTTGTGCCACTGTTGATTTAATACTCAGAATTGAATGAAATCAGTGTAATCCTCAACAAATTATCAAACTATAAGCATTTCTACAAATAAATGCCCAGATGCATATGAAGCTTCTAGAACAGGACACATGGTGGATATTCAAATACTGTTAGTTCCTCGTTCTTTTCCCTTCCCTTCTTGCTTCTGCCAACCCATAGCTTTACTCTCTGTTCTGCAATTTAGGATTAAAAAGGCTGAGCTTTCTCATTTGATCAATAAATTCTTTGCCAGAACTCAACGTTTCCTTGTGCTCTTAGTCATCTGATCAATGGATTTTAATTATTGGGTCACTCTAAAAACTGAGTATTTTTCCCTTCTTACCTTAAGTTCCACTGAAGGATCACCTAAGTTGAACCATGGTTTGTATCAGAGCCTAATGTTTTGTACAGCCGGACACTAGGACACAGGCAGACAGAATTCAATAAAACATGGTTCCCACCAGTCAACCCGACTGGGCCACAGGGTGCCAGATAATTGGTCTAACATTATTCCAGGCATTTCTGTGAGAGTGTTTTGGGATGAGATTAACAACTAAATCTGGGGAATGGAATAAACTACATCACCCTCCATCATGTGGGTAGGCTTCATGCAGTATATTAATATATCCAATATATTAATATATTCTGATAGGACAAAGGGCCAACCCACCTTCAAGTAAGAGAGAATCACCCTGCCTGGCGGCCTTAGAGCTGGAACGCTGGCTCTTCCTGCCCTTCAGGCCTTTGGACTTAAACTGGTATATCAGCTCTGTTGATTTGGGGCTCACTAGCCTTCATAATCATGTGAGCCAATTTTATATATTTATTACATAAATATTATTACATAGATATTTTTATTACATATATGTTTATCACACACACACACACACACACACACACACACATCTCCCCTATTGGTTCTATTTCTCTGAAAAACCCTGACTAACACCATAACACAGAGTATAGTACTAAGAACCAAATAAACTTTCAAACCAAAAATAATACCCATAAACATTCACAGAATGAAATAAAAGTACTTGGAAAGAAGATCTGCCAAGGTCAACATCAGACCATGCAACTCATTCCCTCAAGAATTCTCATGAAGCGAGCGACCCGGCGTTAGCTCACAGCGAGGCTCCCCCTTTCCTGCCCACGCTGACTAGATGAGATTGCTCCACTTTTATAAGGTAGTTACTGTTATTTGAAGCAGGTCATTGGGAAATAAATTTAAAACAGGGAGTAGAGTTATATATTAATTCACTCCCCCTCACAGTGCATAGTACAAATAAGAAGCAAATAAGCTCACCTGAATGGCAGCCAAGTTCTTCTGCTCCTGCGACGGTGCCTCGTGGACGAAGCGAAGCCAGTTGGAGTGCCGTGGGTTGGTGGCATCCAGAATGTATAAAACTTCTCCCTCACTCCCACGAACCTGAAACATAAAAGGCTCCTGAGTTTACATCCGAAGGCAGGATACGCCATACAAAACATATCAAGGGTAGGACATGGTATTTTTTCATAAGTATATGCCTTTTCTATTGACAGGTGTTACATGCTGGATTAGCATGCATTCTTCCTTTAAACATATGTACAAAGAGAGCCTACTATTTCATCTGGCAAATATATAGATGGCTCACAACTGCAATCAACTCTCCAGGAATATAGCTGTTCTCTAGCCAGAATTATTTCTCTCTGTACGTATATTTTAATATATGTGTTGCGATCACAATTGTTCAGGAGGTAAATCATAATTCCAACCCTTCTCCTTTTCTCCTTTGCTCCATGGAAGAGGCTAGTAGTACTGGTTGTTTCTCAATTGTGGGGGGCGGGGGTGGGGGAGTAGAGCAATTATTAACACTTCCGGTTTCTCTCTTCACCTGCTTACTGAATCATCTTCATAAACGGACAGCTTGCTAATCTAACCAGTGGGAATCTGCCATGCAATGGGATACAATTTCACATTCTTTACTAGTAGATGAATGAAAGAGTTCCATTTTGTCTTTTCATGGCCTGTTCATGGACTGCTAAAAAGAGCAGGCTTCCTCTTTTTGTTCTCAAGCCATAAGACTTCACTGGTCAGACTTTACAGTCAGTCAGCTGGAGGGAGGGGTGACTGCCAAAGGACATTTCCTGAATCCAAGTAACTTCTCTAAAACCCCCACATTATGGGTTATTGGGCACTTGCCAAGTTTTATAAAACATATATACTAATTTAGAAGCCCCAGTGGTCAGCATGCAGTATTTATACAACATATATACCAATTTCCATTCAACTTTCATTTCATGTTTATATTTAGGTTGTTAAGTATGAAATGTCCCATTTCCTTAAGTATTAAGTTTGACAGTTGCTATCTCTGACATTTCACTTTAACACTTCTTGTTTTATTTTATTGTGAAGGTACATCCTCAGTGTTTCAAATGCATGGTTTGGCTTGTGATCATCTTTCACATTTTGGTGGGGGGCAATTTGTGTGATACCACAGATAAGACAAAAATTCATGTTATTTTCGAATATGAGTTCTGTCGTGGAACCAGCGCAGTGCAGACAGCTCGAAATATCAAGTGTTTGGGAAGGATGTGACTAATAAACACATAGCACATAGATGGTCTGAGAAGTTCCATTTTGGTGATTTTAATCTTGAAAATGAGCCAGGTGGGTGACCTGAGACCAAGATGGATAATGATGAGCTGAAAGCTGTAGTGGAAGTGAACCCATCTCAACCTACATGTGAATTAGTAGCAAGGTTTGACGCTACTATTCCAACAATATCAGACCATTTGAAACAAATTGGCAAGGTAAAGAAGCTGGATAGATGGGTTCCTCATGAATTAAACCAGCATCAGAAGAGAAATCATCTCAAAGCTTGCCTTTCTTTGCTGTCACGACATAAAGGTGAACCATTTCTACATCATATTGTTACATGTGATGAAAAATGGATTCTTTTTGACCATCACAAGCATTCAGCACAATGGTTGGAGAAAAACAAAGTGCTGAAACCCAGTCCAAAACCAAGTATTCATCAAAAAAAAAAAAGCAAATTGTGTGTGTTTAGTGGTCCCGTGCTGGTATCATCCACTAAAGCTTCATGAAACCTGGTCAATCCATTACAGCGGGTGTCTACTGCAACCAAGTGGATGAAATGATGAGGATGCTTGAGATTAAGCAGCCAAGAATGATCAATAGAGACAGGCCAGTCCTATTCCAAAATGACGCTAAACCACATGTTGCATGACCAACGCTGCTCAAACTACAGCAGCTGGACTTGCAAACTCTCTGTTATCCACCGTATTCACCAGACCTTGCACCAGCTGACTACCACTTCTTCCAGGCTTTGTGCCACTTCTTGCAAAGAAAAATATTCAATTCTCAACAAGCTGTGGAAAATGCTTTTCACGATTTCAACGCTACCGGCTCTCCACGCTTCTTGGCTGCTGGCATAAACAAGCTATAGTTTAGATGGCAAAACCGTGTTGATGGTTTAGACCCATACTTTGATTAATTGCACTGCTTCTTGTCTAAGGTATAATAAACTAAACATTTGGTTTGAAATAGGACATTTCATATTTAATGACCTGAAATTTAATTAGAATCCAAGAGAGGAAGGGAGAGGAGTGAGCGATTAGCACTCTAGATCTTTGACAGGAAGTGATACAAAGATAAAGGCTACGCATTCACCTTTCTAGACGTGGGGAGTGAGAAACAAATTCCAGATTTCCAAAATTTTATTTTACAAAATAAAAAACAAGTCCAGTAAGGTATGTCTTTTCATGATACCTTTTGAAAATCATTCATTCACTCAACAAATAATTATTGAGTCCTTAACTGCTTAAGGCACCGGGAATCTTTCAGATAACAAGACAAAGCCCCTGACCTCACAGCACTTAAAAGTAGACAAACACAGACTATAACATCATGTGAGGATGAGCGTATGAAACAGGTCAAGCAAAATAGAGTCCTGGAGAAGGGCTCTCTCTCTGATGAGGTGGCCTGAGAACAGTTCTGCAGGAAGGGAGGGAAGGGAGGGAATGGGCCAGTAGGAGCTGGGGAGAGAGTGCGGGGCAGCAGTGAAAGGAGAGTGGGTGGCCTCGAGTTTGGAAATGAGTTAGGCGGACTCAGAGAACAGTAGGAAGGTCATGGTGTTGGAAGAGGAGGAGCAGAGAAAGTGATGGAACTGAGATCAGACAGATGGGCCTGGCAGTTCATGCAGGGGCCTTGGGCATATACCAATTTTTACTCCCAAATCTGCTATAAAAATATCTGCTACGTAGACTGCAAAAACTGATGTTTCAAGATTCTAGCACATATTTGTCCAGGAAATAACACAGTTAGCTTGTTCCTACTATCTGACCTACTGCCATGCTTCTCAAACAATTCCTGTTTTGTTAAATGCCCAAGAATCCCCAATAATCCTTTAAAAATCTCTCTTATAAAATGTCAGGCCCTCCCTGGGAAGAAGGAATTTAATTTTCTATATTATAATTGCTAAAAAAACAAAAAAAGGAACTGATGACTATAAATACCTCTTATGTATACATGCTCATGTGTGAAGCCATGGGAATTTGTAACACTTCTCACTAAACAATGGCTAAATTAAGCACAGCAGGTAGCAAGGCCACTAGAGACTTTGCTGAAATCTACACAACCCGACTAACTTTTTGGAGGGACACACCAATAGTTTGCTCACAGCATATCCAGCACTGCTTAGAGAAGCTCGTTCATGGCACTTCTTAGTCATACATCTGCTACCCAGGATTGAGCACAATATGTATCAGATGTGTCTGACATTTGGAATTCTTTCTTCAAAGATGTGAAACATGACAAAGATTTCTCTGTGGCTTATTATAAGGAGCACATTTGAATTTTTACCAGGGGCATTGTTTGTTCTTCATGTATTTCAGCTTTTTCTCAGGCCCTTTAGCTCCAACTACGTTTAATCCCTCAGCTAGACTAGTAAGCTATTTTCCTGCTCAGTCTGTTAGATGTATGCACTTTCTGGCTAGTCCCTTGTCACACAATGCCCCATCTTAACAGAAATGCCCAACTTAATTTTATACTCAAGCTCTTCTGAAATGTGTCACTTTCAATACATGCAAACTTACATACTGATTTATTCTAATCACTTATATTCTCGTAACAACACCATCCCATTCAACAATATACTATATGCTGCCTATGTATTCATATTTGAAATAACTTTCTTTGTTCGTTAACAGAAGCACTGACCATTTTATTCCAAACACCTTTACCCCAAACAGCGTTTAAGTTCATGCACAGTCCTTGCTCTGAGGTCTACCAGCTTTCTCCAGCTGTCCTGGGCTTGGTCACTTCCTCGTTCTACCCTCCCACCCAGTCTTACACACTTCACCAAAGCCATTGGATCACCTGTGCACATGACTTTTATCTTCCCATCCTAACCACGGCTATTCCCCTCACTGACACATCATCCGAAAGAGACATCCAACAATAATCTATACATCCTTCCTCTTTCCAGCCATGCCAAACCAAAACATCTCCAGATAGATGGCCATTATTAAAGCTCCATTTATCTGTTTCAATTTAATATGACACCCAAGGGAATAACTTGAAAATTTTAAAGGCTAAGCAATAAAGAAGACTGAAAATTCCTCTTAGAACCATATTCCAGCATCTTACTAACTTTGGCAGCCAAAGCATACTTTTTTCCTGTCAAAACTAGTCTTCCAAATGCCACCTTATCCTATTCGAATTTTCATGGCAATGAAGTGTATTGGTTACTGTCCTACTTAGAACTGTCTTCTGCACACCTGAGAATGAAGTCAACATTCTCATCTTGTAGTAAAAACCATCTCAGTTCTGAAGGTTTGCTTTGCACAAGCTTCCTACGCCAGTTCGACAAAAAGGTTAGCTAAAGCAGGAAAGAAAAAGAAACCCTCATGAAAATGTTCATGCTTCCATATAGTTGCTCATATCTAATGACTTTGCCACTTTATATTTAATGAAAATTATTCCCTTATAGGAACTTGGCAGGTTCTATCTTCTTTTGAATGTTTACTGACATCACTTTTCAAGTGTCTAAGAGAAAGAATGTGCTGGCCAAGGCTACCATGTATCTGTACCTTTCTCCACACTAAAGATTAGCAGCACTGAATCCAAACCATAGTTGATTGTGTCTTCCCACCCAGAAAAGGACAAAGGAAATCACAAAAAGAGCAGCTCAACTGCAGAAAATGCCAACATGTAAGTGAAAGAAAAAAGTGGAAACATGTAGTCAATACAAGTCTTCTTTCCTTGATCTTAAATATTTTCTTTGTGAAATGGGGTTAACGACACACAGAGAAGCTCCTTTATATTTGGATGGTTAATTTTCAAAGGAGAAGGGTCTACATCATTACTTACTCTGTTATTTTCCTTCTGTCATATCAAATGCCTGAGGAATTTTCCACGCACTACAT